CAAACCATTCTATGATTCTATGAAATAGAAACAGAACCACATAAATTCAAATAGTCCAGAGAAAACTGAAGATCTCATTAAAACATGAAACTTCTTTCTTGCCTGCCTTTCTTATCTTCTTCCTGTTTAAAAAAATGTTCTCCAACCTCCAAGGCAAATGTTCCTTTGAAACATTTTCCCTTAGTGGGACATCTGGGGATTAGGGTTGCCTGATCGTGAGAACATCAGAAAGTCAGAGAGCGATTGATCTGCGAAGCACTTAATCTAAATGCTTTCTAGAATAAAGAAATAGAGATGGATGATAAATGTAATTGAATTAGCAATCAAAACAAAACACACCACCTACCTGCAAGAGTCCTAGACAGGGGTAAATGTATGCTGACAGGATCTGCAGACACTCTGTAAGGTCTGCTCTCCAGAGTATGGCCACACAAGTGAAACACTGTCTTTTCCCGTGAGCGGCCATTTGTGCTGCACCTCATCACAGCTTTATGACATTCCCTGTATGCCTTAAGCAACAGCTCTTCCTAGAATTTAAAATAAATGCATAGCGTTGTATTTAAAAGTCATACACATGCACTAGAATTCCTCACTTGTTTTTTCTAACAGCATAAACAGTTACTAAAAACCCATAATACAATTACTACTTATTTCTTAATACTGAGAAGTACTGGACTGGAGCAGTGGAACATCCACTAAAGCTAACTAAAAATATGCTTGTGTTCAAAAAAGGCTGCTCTGCCAAATGCTCTAAAAATCTATCTGCTTATTTAAGCTGCAATATATTGATATTTGGCATAGTTTGCACCCCTGAACTGCTGTAGTTCTTCCTTTCTCTCCCTACTGAGGAAAAAAAAGAAAACCACCTCAAAATATCCTTAACAAATTTTACAATTTCCCCTCTTTCCTCAACACAGGGATGAGCTCCAGCACTGATTAAGACTACTGACAGAACAACCACCCAATTAGCACAAAGTTTCTGCAGTCCACTTTTGCAATGAAAAATAAACACCATGTGCTTTAAAACCTTAAAACTTGTCAGTGATACCATGAACCTAATACTCAAAATATTGAATTATGAGAAGTATTTTCTCTTTATGATTTGCCTGACACCCTGTGCAGCTTTGTCAGCTAGAAGATTATATTCTTCTGAGATGCCTTCTCTCTCTGCTATACCACAGATTAATTCTTTCAGACTCATTTTTTTGTGGGATCTCTATTGAATAGTGAGCTTTTTTTTAAAAAGCTGCTATTTAAAAAGCACTCAGGAATATTCACAAAAGGCACACACGTAAGAATCCCAGATCCCAGACAATTTATATACTTACGTCACAGGCACACCACTCCTGGAACATCAAAAGAATGTTCTTGAGCTGCATCTGTATAGCAATAGCTGCTTCCCAGTCAGGGTCCACCTCAATGTGCTGACCAATCTGTCTTTTTATCTCCTCCATTCCCTGAAATGGAGATGCCACAAAATACTCAAGCTAAATCAGTGATCACAGGCTTAAAACAATACAAAATCCCATAAGCAAAGGGTAAAATATAGATTGTTCAGATACACGTAGCTAAAATTGATTAATATTACTTTTATGAAGTGAACATTACTTTTTCACCCACTCAAGACAGGGATTGAAGAATTTACCATCTTAATTGCATGTTAATATCCACCATATTGCTATGGACAAAAAGATGAGCAAACAAAATTACTGTAATATAACAGCATAGTAGAAAGAAATTATTTAAATGTGTTGTACCTGCATGCAAGTTAGAATCCTTAGGAAAGAAACAAATCCTTCTAAAAACCGCTCCCTCAGACGGTCTGTCCATAACGTAGGCTTGCTGACTAAGACATACCTGCCCCCAAAGAAAACATTATCATCTTTTGTTCAGATTTCTTTTCTGCTTATGCTTTTATTTAAAGTGTTCTTTGTATTAAAATAATCAACTTGCACTATCACATTACATCACCATCCCCATCTCAAAAACTCCTCTTAAAAATTTCACCAAACACTAGAGTTTTGTGACTCCATCATTTGAAACAAAGAGGTTTGTTGTTTTGGTTTTTTTTAATTCCAAGGTATTTGGAGTGGTTTGCTTTCACGTTATTCAGTTTGTTAGAGTAATTTGGGACCTGCATAGCATTTTCCACTCCTACAGATGAGAATTATACAGCTTTCCCAGAATGGTAATGAATAGAAGCCAAATTTCCCATACTGTCTTACAGTAGATATATTTTGTTTATTAGCTCAATTGTTATATGGAATTTTATCAGTGAAAATCATCACATATTGTATTTACAGAATATAATTTTGGTATTTGAAAATTTTAAGTTTCCACTGAAAAATAAACCATTAAATTTTCATGTGTGTTTTTTGAGGGGTTTGGTTTTGGGTTTGTTTTTAAAGTAGTTTTATCATCAGCTTCCCAAATTGACATACCTCATCTACTGACAGTTTTCTAACATTGCTCAAGCTTCTCAACTTTATGCTTACCTGAGGTCATATATTACTGCATATACCCGGTTCAGTTTGTCTTGACTGTAACCTTGGAAGTTGAACTTGTCATTTTTGTCTAGGTACTCTGGAAGCACTTCTAGGAGTGTCTCTGTAATGGTGGTGATTACATTTTGCTCTTCAATAAGATGTCGGGCCTGCAAGAAGAAAATTAAAATTTTTTTCATCCTATTTTTGTTGAAGGGAACTGTAAAAATATTTTTTCCTTTGAATCCAGTCTTTTTGATTTGAAATTATTTTAAGCATTTGCAAAGAGTCCAAGCTACAAAAACTTCCATAGTATTTATTATGTACAAACACAGTTTCTCTCAACTTAGCATGTTTGTTCACTCTGACAGCTTCAATGTAACAGACATGCAGTTTTTTCTAGAAAGATCTTGTAGAAAAGGACTTTTAGTATTAGTATTTCAAGCAAGAAACTTTAAAACCTACAGGTATACTTCTTCCCCCCAGGATTTAACATATTTCACGCACACAAAAAGACATTTAACCATTTTTTTGCCCCCTTCTCCCAAGTTTTCAAAGTTACATAAGAAAGTAAACATGAACAGTAAATGAACACAGAAAGTTAATGCAGAGAATGATGCTGCCTAAAACTTCTACTTATTTGCATTCTATCTTCTGTAATGAATTTCCACATAAATTCAAGCTCCTGCTTCCATATGGGCCTTAGCAAATCTCCAAAATCATTAATTTTCAACTCAGCAATGCACAAAGACTCTCTGCCAAGTACAGTAATCTGCAAAGGTGGTACTGCTAGTAACTCTCAAATTTATTTTACATGTCTAGCAGAGACAGGCTGTACATACCAGAGTAGGTACGGTGAACATCTGAACTGAGAGTGCTGTCACAGAGAGAACTCTGTCATGATCATCATTGATGTATTCTTTTTGCAATGCCTTGTAATACTAGGAAACAAGAATATTGGGGAAATTAAATAAATAAAACAAGTGTTAATTAAAAATGTTTACTTATTTATTTGCAAGAATTACATCTCAATGTCCTTCTTCCTTTCTAATAGGAGCAGTTCAAACAACAAAAATGGCACAATATCCGCAATGCATCAAAGCAATTAAATATGTTCTCCACTGCCTTAATACTGAAGATAAGCACAAATTTAACTGTTCTGCCAGACTGGAACCAAAATATTTTTTTCTCTTACAACCAGTCTTCCCCATGAAAAGAAATTAAATATCTGAAAAAAGGATCAATAAAGACATTAACTTAATATAAAACAGGTTGTCCTCCTGCAGTGAACTGTTATTCAACAGCTGTCTATAAAAGATAAGTAATGTAAGTGTTTGCTTTGTTTCAGTCCTGTGAAAACCATGAGGCGTCAATCCCCTTTATCAGGATTAAAGTCTCATCCTAAAAGGAAAACCACTTGGTCTTATGTTTCATATATTTCTCAACTACTGTAATGAATTTTTAATAATAAAACAGACCAGTTTCAGTGGCAGTTCATCTGACATTTCAAAAAGATACACAGAATACTAACAATACTGCATTCCAAATAGCATATATATCTGTATGATTATAAGGAACAAACCAATGATACTGGAATTAATACACTCTGTAAAGGTTGAGCCAGTTGCTGAAGCTCTGCTTGTTGAAAATTATTTATATTGAAACAATTTTCAGGAAGGGGGAAATTTTACAAAGCCAGTAAAAATTCATAGCATAAAACCCAACCATTTACCTTCACAAATTCCACAGCAAAAAGTTTTTTGTATTGCATTTCCATGAAAAAACTACTGAAGATAAGTTCATGAAGAACCTTCCTTGCCCCTGTGAAGAGCCAATACAATGCATATCACTTTATTGTACTAAGATGCAGCTTTTTGTGGAAAAGAGGAACAGATTATTAAATTATAATTAAAAATCATTAAAAGCCTTGAAATGGTTATGATGTACATGAACAAATTTATTCCTATTTTTAACATTTATTGGTATGTATTTAAAACACAGAACAAGCATCAAGCTACATCTTGTGAAAAGATTGTTCAAAATACATACAGCAGGAAAAATTTAGAAGGCAAATACATACCAAAATATCAATTATCTCAGCTGTAAAAACAAAGGACATATCAAAAACCATAATATAAAAACTATAACTCCACCTGCATAGCACTTGTTTACTTTTACACATTTGTTACACACATGAAAAATTAATTTGCCTCTTCAGTTTAAAGCAACATGGATACACAAACCTTTATGAAGTTTTGCATCCCATAGCATCAACTTGCTTATGAAGCATGGCTTTTCAGATCCAGCTTCTTCTTTGAGACATATTTGACAGAAGATCTGGCGAAAGTCACCTATAGGGATAAAACTACTCATTTGTACAAGAACGCTTCCATAATTAAATGGTACGAGCCAACAAGATGACAATTACAGAATTGTGTCCTTAAAAAAAAAAAAAGAAAAATGACACTTAAGTATGAGTTATTTTTTAACAAAGTTTTTTCTCAGTGAACATACTCTCACATTCTCTCCCCTTACCTAATTTCTTCTTACTATTCTTACCTACTTTATTTAATAAATCCAGTGATGCAAAAGAGTATTTTAAAATGAAAAGCATTTAGACAGCTTTGCAAAGCAGATCCATAAGAACAGTTCACTACGTCAGCACAGAAATGCACTGAAATTTGTACTGATTAGAAGAACTGTCTGAGGACCTTGGACCAGCGAGAAAATACCATCAGTGAAATAAATAAAGTTGAAAAGAACAGAAAGATAAAATTTGTAAAATATTGTAAAGAATTACAAAAAGGTACAATTATGATATATGCATTTCAAGGGAAAGATTGGAATATAAGTGTTCAGAAAAAGAGATAGGAAATTCACTTTGTTATCCAAGCTTACAGAAGAGGCTAAAGCAGACCAACAGACTTACCCTATCAAGAAGGAAGATAAGCAGTTGAGTAGAGCTTAATCTATGCATATTTGTACAGTGAAAAGAAATTTTATAATGGCTTTAGCTTGGCAAAACACAGGTATGACAAAACCTAGTAACAGGCATCAAAGTTAGATTGATTCAGAAGTCTTCCTTGAAACCAGGAACATCATCAAACACCACAACAACGTTTGAAAGCTTACAATAGTCTTTCCACCACTAGACAAATTTTTAAATTAAGGCTTTTGTTTGTTTTACTGACACTGTTTAATTAGTCGCAGCTATCAAATCTGAAGCAGGAATTAATTCAAGCAGAGGATGTATGCTTTCACTGGAGGTGGTCTGCAGCTTTCCACCAGCAGCTTTTAAGCAAACAAGTCACTGTAATAGGGCATGTGATGCTGAAACTGAAGATAATAAAACTTCTAGAGGAACAGACAGAGCTCAAGCAGGGAAAGACATTTGTTTTAGCAAGAAGGAACAGAAAAGTATTGATATTCATAACCATACTGATGGATATCAGCACCCACACTACTGTATTATTTATTTACTAATTAGGAGCATGAAAGTATTTTAATAAGGGAATATCATAAATAACACTGCTAAAGACATTTTTTGAGATGATTAGTCACTCAAATGCTGACATGGCATTATTGTAACAAAAATCAGTCATGCTTACTTGAATAGCTCATGAGTTTGTTCAGCCAAGAACCAAGACGCAGGGCAAACTTCTGGTGAGCCATAACATCAGCATGCAGAACCTCCACATGAAGTGCTCGTTGAGAAACATTTTCAGAATGCCTCTAGGAATCAGGTAAATATTAGCAGATATAAAATAAAGATAACATGAATTTCCATTTTTTGTCTTTACCACCCATTACGTCTCCCAAGCACATGTTAATGGCAAACTCCAACAAAAAATGAAATCAGTCTGATGTTTTATTTCTGAAGATACCTATTTATAGCAAAGGTGGTGGGGTAAATTCAATTCCAAAAAGTTCACAGGCAGGTTATAAAAACACAAAAGCACTAAGATAAAGACTGTACAGCAGACAAATAAGTCTTCAGTATTAATAATCAAGAGGTTGATTTGTTTGGTTTTTAAATGAGAAAATTATTTTAGGAAGTTACCTTGATTTCTTCTTTTGCTTCCTGACAAGAAGCATAATGTCCTGCCTTAACAGCTCTACGACCCTGTTTAAAGAAAATATTGAGCATGAGACCAATATAAAACAAAACCAAAATTTCACAAGCCTGATTCTTGCTATGTTTTTTATACATAAAAGAAAAATGGGGACCAACATCACTCATGGTGCTTCTAGACAGAAGCAAATAAAAATTAACATAATTATCTTTAGAAAAAACTATTTTAATTAAATTAACAATGGAACAACAAAGTAAATTCTGGGTATCTTAATATTATTAGCTAAAGAAAATTCACATACACACTAAAACAGATGAGTGGGATTTCTGCAGAATACTTTAAATACAAACCACATCAACTTTCTTCCTTCAAAGAAAGGAAGGAGTTCATTTCTGTTCCTTCGTCTGTACTTCAAAGTACACTCATCCTGAACTGCTTTTCTACAATCTTTCCTACTATTTCTTACTTCTGTATATGAAATAGCAGAGTATTTTATAAGCATGGGTTTGATAGCTCTTTCAATAAAGCCAAGAACAGATCCAGCTTAGACCTCAAATTCCACTCAAAGGAAATCAGAGGTATGGGCCTCCAAAACAAGTTCTCCACAGAGCAGAATTTCACACAAGAAGAGAGGAGGTAGCTTTTGTTGTACAACTGTGGTAATTAAAACAATATAACCTAGTTCTGTGCTGTAACAGGTGCTTTGTAAAACAGGAAGTCTGATCAACTCTGGATCTAAAATTTAGGTTTCAATCAAAAGGAACCTTCATAATGGAAACCTTTAAGCATGCACGTATATACATATTTTACAAAACCTGCAATTGTAAGACAAGCCTTGTAATTACATGAGACTGACACTACTAATTAAATACAAATAAACTTTTATTAACTGAACAAATAGGAACACAAAAAGAAAACATAGTTTTTACTGATTAAAAAAGGACACTAATATTAGTAAGATACTTTATATGTAAATATAAAAAAAATACGTATACAGCTATAGATAAAGTTTCTCCATGTGCAAGCACGTAAGTTTTGTACTTTTGTGAGGTAAAAAAAATGGTTGCAATTAAGATAATTCAAACACTGATCATGCTTCCCCCCACCCCAGTGCCCAGTGGAGGAAAAAAAATATTACATTACTAGTGTAAGGTCTTTACATGGGATATTAGTTTGAAAAATGAAATAGTAAAATTGTCAGGTTCACCCGCATTCCTTCATGGATTCTTCCTGATTTCATTTGTTTAATTTGAAGTTTTAAGATTTTCAAATGAAGTCCAAGTCAGAACGAGCACTAACTCTTGCAAAATGTAAGGTATGTTTCTGATTAAATACAACTGAATATGCATATTTCTGACTTGTGTATTTTTCATACAAATACCATTAAAATAAAACATTAATGTCAACTGAGAAGGAAAAAAAGGTAAAGGAAAATATGCAAAACAGGAAAGGAGCAACTTCAGATAAATCATCTCTTCTCTTTCTCAAGAAACTGGATTTTGTCCTGAAGAAAAAAAAAATACAGTTTAAAAACTTTCTTGAAGCAAGTGCTGATTAACAGTTACTCTGCAACATGTTTTTCTCTCTCTTCTCCAGCATCCCAGAAACAAAGATTCTATGATCAAGAGATTATAGTGGCACCTTTTAATGATTAAAAAGTTACTTTATCCCATATCCATAATGCACTAACCTCTTTATCTATGGCAGTAGTATGCAACTGGGCTTCACCAAGTTCACAGCCAAGTGCCCTTTGCAGGCTATAGATGACATGATCGTAAGAATGATGTTCATCATTGAAAAGGACACAGTAGTAGCTGTCTACCTTCTCTCTGCTGGGAAAAAGCCAACATATCATCATACGAATAAAAATAAAATTGTAAATAGTGCCCTATCCAATACAAGCAACAGCTCACTTGATAGCTTTAGAGAAATGCCAAATACAAAACAATTATTGAAGAAAGTTAAGCATGTTCTTCATGTCAAAGACACACCCAAAAGTTCCCTCACCATCTATACCAGAATAAGCCACAGAAACCATGTACAAAAGAGATTTTAAGTTATTTCATTATTCCATTATTATTTCCTCTCTCTGCTGTTTTATGATCCCATTTGTCTTTTTAACATGATTTTCAACAGTCTTTTTCCATTTTGATGGAGCACAGTCACACACTAATTTTTCCATGAAGTACCCAAAGCTTTTCTCTATATAACTGTAGGTCAAAAATGCCACAGTGCTCTTTATAGGGATTTTGGCACTAATATGTTTGCATGAGTGTTAGAATACCACAGGCAAAATTATTATCAAAGTGTCTAATGCCTTGAAGAGAAAGTTGAAAATACTCCCTACCTAATTGTGAGCTCTGGTGGCAGCTCCTTCTCTTCTTCCCATATAAGCATATCTACAATGTATTTTATCACAGAGGGAAATACCCTCCTAGAGTGCTCCATAATTTCTTCATTCAACTGATATTCAGAATTCTGTAAAACAGGAGATAATATTAATATGGAAAAGAAATTTTAAAAATGAATGAAGGGTTGGTAGAATACCTTATTACCATATTTGTTTCAGGAAATTAGCCTTTTCATTATTTTCAAGCAAATTAATCTCACCTGATTTCTTCTCTTCAAAATTATTTCATCCCAAGGGCTCTCAGTAGGATTCCAACAGTTTCATCTACCTTTTTTTACGCATCCAGTTTTTATCTAGGAATAGACTACGAAAGGCCTCACCAAATGTGTTAGGAAACTTCAATTCACTTTTTTTTAAACTTAGGTTTAAAAAAGCTGGTTAACAGCTTTCTGTACACCCGAAAACATTAAAAGTTTGCAGTCCAGACCAAAATTCTTCCCCTGCATTGCTTGCTCTTCTGTGTGGGTATTCTGTCAAACATTTACGACACTCCTTGAACAGAACCTAACTCTGTTCTTTTCAGAGATCCCACCCCAGATTTAGAAATCATTCAAAATATCCCTGTAAACTGACATCCACCCAGAAAAAGCTCGTTAAGTGAATATTAATCCTTTCCCTAAGCATTTAAGCAGAAGAGAAATTAAGGTTATAAGCAAAGAAAATCATTACCAAATCTTCACTTAAGAATGAAGCAACCAATATTCAAGTACAAGATGTTGCAACAACATTGTGTGAAAAGAGGGCTTGAATCCAAAGGCCCTGATGACCTTTTCCACAAACCACCTTCCCTTCAGCATATGCACATATAAATGGTATATAATGTTGTTATTAATGTTAATGCAATGAAATTCAGTAATTTCATATACAAATATGTCACAGAAACAGAGGCTGATATTTTTTAGAGTATTTACACAAAGTTTCCTCTAATTTTAGGATCGCCCGAACTGCCTACAAAATCTGAATACGTATGTGTTGGCCAGAGTAAGAAAAGATGAGAAACCAAGATGCTTTCCAAGAATAAAGCTTTTCACATGTGACTTTTAATCCCAAAGTACTAAGGGCACTCACCTCTGCAATACACAATCTGACAGATGTTAAATATAAAAGAACAGAAAGAGTGCTGTGTTTAATAGAGCTAAGAATCATGTTTTTGAGAAATTCTTAAACCAGCTATACAATCACATTTAACCATTTATGAAGCAGGTTGCCTTTAAGAAAACAAACAAACAAACAAAACCCCCCACAAGTAAAATCTTGTCATGTCCATATGTTGGAAAAGCTAAAAAAAAGTAATGGAAGACGTAAAAATGCGTTAACGTGACCAATTGCTTCCAAAGCTCTGAACAACTGTTTTCTGACCTGATAATCATTGGAAGAATAATTTGGAGTCAAACATACAATCTAAAATGTCTGCCAATGAAATCATGGTCTATAAATATCACTGTGTGTACATACTTAATTTTGGATAAGCTCGTGGTAGATCTTGGTAATTAAGAATGTAAATGTCATGGGTAATTATTTTTTCCCCAGACTGACAAAGCTATCATCATCTTAAAGTTTGGAGCAGAATGAAAAAAAACCTATAGTGCTAAGAATAATCTAATTGAACTGAGTTGTAAATATACTATTTTTCCCCCTATTATTTCTTAAGAGTTTGACTTTTTTTAAGCATTAAAATATTTTAAGCAAAAATTATAGAGCTGGAGGAAAACAAAGCTGTGCATAGAGATACTACAAGGTTCTTGTTTGGGGTAAGACATGCTGGTCTCCTTCAGTCTGTTGAAGACATCAAAGGAAACTACATGAAAAGATTTATAAACTATTAAAAGTAGGGATTGCACTTATACAAATAGTGAAAAGTTAAATGATGCAATACTACCTCCTATGCTATCCACATTAATAGAAGTCACAGTAAAATGAACTTAAGATACACCTAATGTAAATTGAAAGGGGAAAAATAAAATTTCCTCAGAAGTATGCCCAAAAATGTGTAATTATTCAAGCTTCAGGTAAAGCTTCAAAATTGTGGAAGAATGAACAAAGTATGTCCAGATATCAGAGTTTAAAAATAACTATCAACTTTTTTTTTTTTTTTTTTAAACAAATGTGCCTGAGAAGTATTTTTACCTTATCTAAGATACAAATTCTTAAAATTATCTGGTCTTAAGGATATATTCAGGCAAAATGTTTTTTATATTTGTGGCATAGTTAAGACACTAATTTGGAATCAATAGGGAATGGATCACTCCTAAAAGCCTGGAGTAAGGGGTCTAAAACAAAGGATTGCTTTTCTGATCTCCATATTACAAACATACCAACAACTGTTGTAAATATCTCCTGATTGTAAAACTTTCTTTTTTTTCAAATTAAGGTTTAATTAGGATATTTGTAAGGCTATTGTATCTTACTAATGCTCCCCTCATTATCTCAGAAATGCTAAAAACTCTGGTGCTTATCTTTAATGTTGTAGATTGAAACCTGTCCTGTACTAAGGGCTCATTTTTAAAAGGAGGTCATTCTGTAGATCAAACTCTAAACTTAATCTACCTTTTAAAAATAGCAGCCAGTTCCTAAGCACATTTTTACCACGTTCTGCATAGCAGACAAACATACTGCAAACATCCCCCTCTTCTCATTTGCTCCTACCTGATCAGAGTTTATAAACACTCTAGCATGATACATCCTCTGCACTTAGAGTAATTAAAAGAATACTGGTCAGGATCAGACAGAAAAGAGTGCTTTTTGTTTGACAAGCATGCGATAAACTATACTATCAGAAAACATGTTGGAAAAGAAATGCAATGCAAGATGTCTGTTCCAAGCGCACTTTGCAACTCATTTCTTTTAATAAACATTATATGATGAGAAAATTCCTACATTATGACTGTCCTTGATTCTCAAAACAGTGAGCAAACTATGAGGTAATCCAAACATCCATGAGTCTCTTCATCATAGCCAAATCCCTGATGGACAAGTCTTTTATTAAAAAAGGAAGATGGTCATGCAATGCAATCTATCAAATAGGTATGTACTGCGTATCTTAATATACGGATGCATTTCATTATTGCAGTGGTTTTACTTCTGCCCTTTTAACTAGGGAGTCTACATATACTGACTGCATAACTACATATATTGACAACAAAGAACTATTGTAAGAAGTAACTTTCTACTTCAAATTCAAATAATTGTCTGATTATAGGTTTTCTATCATTCATGACTCTTGGGTAGCAGTCACTGTAAGAGCATGTTCCAGTTTGACAGCAGTTGTAACATAGCTTTGGACTTGCACAACTCCGTAACAGAAGTGATGATCAAACAAATTCACTGCACACCAAACAAAGACCTTATCAGAGACTGGAAGAGAAATATTACTCAAAGAAGCATGGGAGTTTCCCTGTTTCTTTATGATCACAGGTATGATTACAGTTCTCAAAGTTTAAAACCAAGAGATACTGTGTTAGCTGTTATCATTATTGATATGATCTATCCTCTAACCTTATCTCCATTGGATGCAAGTGGCCTGAAGAATATTCTGAGCAGCTTATCTTCATCCAAACAGAAAAAAAGTGCTGCAGACTGAATGCGTGCAGTTTCCTCACAAGCTTTGTTTGAATATGGTTTTGAAAAAAAAAGGCCATAAAATTTGGACAGTGTGATTTTAACGAGGGAAATAGCTTTTGGATAGAATTTTGATAAAGGTTTTGGTGGTTTTCCTAATATTTGTTTTTGGATTATTTTATTGTTATGAAAAAGCTATTCTAAAGGAAAGGGAGGTAAAAAGCAGAATATGCTGTCACAGCTGCAAACACCAGATCTGTGAGATCAAAATCTATACCTCACAGACAAACAGGTTCCCCAGCAGAAAGTTAACATTTCATAAGCCTTTTCAGGGACCCTGGTCAGAGTTGTTGGAACTAAAAAATGCTATTATTCTCAAAAGTAAAGTGCTGAAACAACTGTTAGAAGATCTCATACAGAGATCTAAATTTTAAAACTGGGAGATACAATCTCTTTTGTTTAGAATCTCCTTGTTAAAGTTAATGTGCTCTATAGGTCCACGTTCATTCCAGATATCTGAGTAATTTTTTTTTGTAAGCCATCACAAGTGAAATCCATAATGTATGCTATCTACTGTCTGTAAGACAAACTGGACAAACTAGTCACCTGAGGCATAAGTAATACCACTTATCTAGGAGCAGTGGAGATGCTTTGGCTGGAAACAATTTTCAAGTGGGAGAACAATTAATTCTCAACTAAGACCCAAACATTTTGTCTTAAGACCATTGCTAAATTTGCTTTGTGATATGATAAGGACCTCTCAGCAATCAGCTAGAAATCTGACACTGAGCTCCTTGGAACATAAATTTCCCATAGTATCCAAAGGTGGCTTTAAAGCTGGTAGACACATGAGTTCTCTACTTTCCCGTATGTATCAACAGTACCAGGAATCTAGCATTGCAAAAAAAATCCTATTTTTCCTTCAGAACACAAGGACAAAAATGAATACTTCCCAAAGAGGAACTGTGCTAGTTTCTTATTCTGGAAGCACCTCTAGAACATGCTGGAAAAAGCATTAAACACATATGTAGCAATGGTGACAGCAGTAAAATTAACCATAGGGTAGCTATTTTTGGGTATTCTAATATTAGGGAAACAATTTACCTCTTTTGATTACAGGTTTTTACAAGTGATATGTAGGTATCAGCCACACAGATACCAAATGGCTCAGTACTGGGGATAATTACGGCACAGCAGAATAGACTTTACTGAAGTAGAAGCAAGAGAACATTATGGTGACAAGCTCCAAGTGGCAATCAGATGACCCCTTCTTGGAGCTTCAACTATTTTTATCTCCGAGAAGGATGAACAAATGAAGGAAAACTGTCTCATTTTTCTGTAAGACCAGTGTTCATTATTCCTTTTCCGTTTGATTTTTTTGCCAGATCATAAAGAACAGTACTTTTGCAACAAAACCAGGAGGTATTAGGGGTCTATTTGCAATGACAAATGCTAAGGGGTTTTTCTCCTTGATTATCTCAGAATGTAGAACTTGGAAAAAATAATTTTACCTGAAGCAATTGATTTGTCTACAATCTCTTGAAAAATTTCTTATAAGATGGCATATTTCTCGTTAATATGCTGCTTTACAAGGTACAATAAGCATGAGACATCCTAGCATAAGAAGTTAAAGCATAGGGACTTATTTTAGTCATAGTGACAGATCACACACCAGAAGTAACTGACAAAAAAAAAAAAGTTCAGTAATGCAGTAATGTGGAATAGAGAAAATATTATTAAAATCAAGTACTATATCTAAACATTTACTAACCACTAGGAAACCAATTATTTGTAAATAAGAACTAATACACATAGCAAAGGAAAGAGCAAGAGACTGAAATTTTAATGCACATGTAGATGGAACTGTTCTATTGTTTCTGCCTTTTGTTTGGAGGATGTCCAATACATATGTTTGGTCCCAACAAACACCTTGACCAAGGAAATCCTGATTCAACTCAACTGGACCTGCTACATGAATCATACAATATACACACTTTCATGCACAGGAATAAGCTTTTTTTTTTTTTTAAAAAAAAGGCAATATTTACAATATTTATTCTTTCACTTTAAGCAACATTCTTACTTCTTTTGCAGAACCCAAGGCTCCAGGCTCATGTTTAGTACAGAGCGGTCCAGCCTTCCATGCCTCTGTATCCCCACAGTCACAAAATCCACCCCCAGTGGAGCTATGCATCTGTAAAAAACATATATTGCAGTCACAAAATATACATATAAAAAGCAAGAGAAAACCAGAAATGTGCATTATTTAAGTCAAACACAAGTATAACTACCAACTTAAAAAAAAGACAAGAGTCACTGCATAATCAACGGACTTAACACAACTTTTTTTCTTTTTTTAGATAAAAGGAGACATTGGGGGTGGGGGAGATTCAAACTTTTGGAGCACGGAAGTTTTTGAAGAAATACAGTTGCTGCTGCAGAAAAGTATGCAAGTCAAACAAATTCAACTAGAAAACAGGTGAAAAAGCCTATGACCGATGAATAAGCACTTCATAAGTGGCAAACTAATAATTTCTGGTTATACTAGCAAAATTATAGCTAAGGTGCTTAATGCCTTCTTTACAAGTTACTTGGTAAAGTTTGAAAATAATCTAAACAGGAATATGTATCTATTAAACAGATATTTAGTAGTACCTCCACTTCTCACCAAATAAAATAAGACACAATCAGCATCTAAATACATTCTTGCAACATTAACTTTGCATTACTCTTTCAGAAAAGTACAAATTCTGACCCTTCATTTTGGCAAAAAGTTCCAAGAAAACTCAGGCAAAAATAATTATCCTTAGCTTAATCTACATCCCTAATCCTAAAATAATTATAAAAACACTGAAGTGACCCAATAAAAAGACATTAAAAAATTTGTTATTTACTTGAAAAGTTTTAAAATAACCTGATCTAATTAGACATGCTTCAAGCAGGAGGTTGGACTAGGTGACCTCCTTAAGTCCCTTCCAACCTAAATTATGAATCTATAAAGAGCATAATCTATATTCTTTAGCTTGCATCTTTAAAATGGACATGCAGCAAATCTGCTCCCATCTGAATGCCTATTTCCATAGCTGATGTTTCGCCTGAAGAGGTTACTGAAAAACAGGGAAAGAACAACAGCTTCTCAGCTCAGCTGTGATTCCAAATTGCTCTATAATCACTATTGTCTATTTTCCCTGGTTTTCATCTTACCACTCTGTAAACTGTGTGTAAGTGCATTCTGTACGTCTTTGAATCAATATTTACAACACATTCTCAGATCAGTATACAAAAACTTATACAGAGGGGCACAATTTTATATTTTAGTGCCAATTAATTTTGAGATTGCTAGGACCTTCTTCCAAACTGTCTCTCATTGAAACATACCCACTTAAAGGGGATTTATGACCAATTGATAATACATGTAAGAGAAATCTCTTAAATGGATGTCATGTCAATGAATAGAAGGAATAACTACCAAAAAAAAAAGTCTAGCTCACTTTCTGATCATGAAAGATAATTAAATCAAATTCATATTGTTTCTGTACATTTTCTTGCCTCTTGCAGCAGATTTAGACCAGCTTTTAAAATGACACAATACACTGTTTTCCATTTCTGCTCCCAAGGCTGCTGAGTCTCTGAAATTACAGAGTTCTCAGTGAAGAGGGCAAGCAAAAAAGGGGGCCTGGAAAGGAAACAGCAGATGACAGTTTAAGCAGTGAGTTAGTTAAGAATTATTTAAAAGATCTTTCTTTGATTAAAGCACAGAAATGTCTCAAAGATAACAGATTTGGCTCAAAGAGAATCAAAAGGATATCAGAAAGAAATGATCCAGTTGTAAAACAATCTCCTCAGCTTAACATTTGTTTTACATTTATCATTATGAACTAAGCACAAAGTAGTTTATGCAAATCTAAATGGAGAAACAGAGTGAAAATGCAGACTGCATCAGTGACATAAGTGCTGAAGTAATGGCCCTTGTACATGCACATTCATTCTAAATTTCCAAACAGTACTGTCTGAGACTCAGGACAGGACTGTCATTTTCAGTCACAGCTTTTTGCTCTGACATACTCTTCTGTGATATTGCCAAAGAGAATAACAACATATGCATTCACAAACGCTCCCTTACCCTTTGGTTCTTGAATTAGAAAGTTACTGTTCTTAAAAAAGCTTTACATAGTTAGAAACATGAGAGAGAGAATTAACTAATTAGTAATTCCTAGATTTTTTTTTTAATAAAAATTACTAATGGTTTATATGCAATTTATTATATCCTCAACTAAAAATCTTGTCTAAAGCTACAAGTCCAAGTTCTTAATGTAAGATTTTTCTACCTTGTACCGGTGGTTCTTGTGAATGCTATTCTGGAAGCAGTCCATACAAAGTACACAAGTTGGATCAACTGCACAGTCTCTGCAATAAAAAGAGTAACTAGAAAACTTTCTAAAACAAGCACATGGAATTTTCATGCACAAAAGAAAATGCTGTTCTGAAAAATCAGTATTAACAACAGATTGAAATGATAAGAACATTGGCCACTCCAAGTCACAGAAAGCCAGTTGTGTTAGGCTTGAACCGTGTACTCAAACCTGTAATATCACATTCTATCAGAAACGTGCTTGATTTCAACGTTCAAAGTTTGCTGCTAACATATTTCTGGGTTTGCTAAGAATAAGCAGGTATTAAAAACCATGATGACTCTGAAGTAACCTTTATTATTGTTTCCAACAACTGTAGCCAGTTTGCTAATGAAACCTTTGCTACACTTCTGCTAGGTTTTGCCTTTAACTTTTTAAACAGTTGGAAGTTAAAATCTAAAGAGAATTCCTTTACAAAATGAGCCAAAGAGTATAGACTTTGAAATTTACTTTGAAATTTCAATCATGCACTCAAATACGTGAAAATCCAGAATTACACTCATGGGCAATCTAATTTCATTTTTTTCTTGTTCCACATATATATATATATATGCTTTTTTATATTGTTTTTTCTCCTAAAAACATGGTCACTACTTTTTCTTTAAATACTGTTTCATGCTACACAATGTGGATGACAGATGTTTAATGACAACATACCAAGTTTTTGGTTTTATGCCATTGTTCATCATCTAGTTCAAGCCTCCTTTACAACTAAACCAGTTCTGATTACAGAATGAATTTCCTTTCAAACTTTTAGATTATAATCATCATTACAGTAATTTAATATTTCACTAACATTCATTTATTACCATAAATCTACTGCAAGGTAAATTAAAAGAAGGAAAAATTAAGCCAGAAATGCCTGCTAGATTTGAATGCCCAATTCAAGACATTTAGATTTTAATATTTCTATTATGTCTGTCTATTATTTTTAGCATTTCAGAAGCCTAAAGCAAATATATATTTAGCTTCAGCTGCAGCAGTAAGTACAGTATTTTTGTATAATTACTACCACATTTTTTCAAGACAGGAACTCAAAAAAACAAGAAAAAGAGACCACCTCTGAGAAATACAGCTTTGTCATTTTGTCTGCTATCATACAAGAACTCTGCAGAGGTAGGAACAGAATTATTCCTGTTACAACAAAACTAAGCTGCCTTGACTATCCTTTTCCTTCATACAATCCGATGTTGCATTCGCCATGCACTGTGTAGCAAACATGCAAAGGCTTCTTCAAAGACCATTCTCCTTTCATACACAACATTAACTTATTCCTAGAAAAAGCTAAAGAGTATGTGATTGATTAAAATCTTACAGTGTAATTCACAAACATAAAAAGTTTACAGAAAGCTTTCATTGTGACATTTCCTAAATTCTAAGGGCTGGATTTTTTAGCCATAATAATATTCTTCATCCTTAATAATATTATTTTGGTATTTCTGATTAAAATTTCTAGGCTTTTAAAATAAACTATAAACTACAACAAACGATGGCAATAGCATCATATTAATACTAATGAATTGCCCGCACAGTGACAACCTTTACATTGACCACAAAGATCTCTGATTTTTTAATATGAATATATTTGTATTAATATGAACTAATAAAATTAATTCTATCAAGTCAATGGGCTACCATCATGAATATACTCCAGGATGAGAAAAAAGGTGAAAAAGTGACCACTGGTCACACAGCTATTGCTTAAGCAAAGGACTGATGATGCTCAGAAATGCCAGATTCTGTTTCAGACTTTGAAAGGGTGAGTTCTATACTGTGCACGGATTTTTATGCCTGTTCTCCCTCAATTCAGGTACAGACCCCATACTCATACCCTGTCATCCAACCTTTTAAACCAATGGCTTTCAGTACCTTTAGTATGCTTTCAATTTCCTTCCCCATTTCTCTGCCAGAGCCTGCTTTTAATATGCAATTTTTCTCACTCTAAAGTGGTTTGAAACATGAAGCAAATGCCACTGTCAGTTAAGCAAAGACCTACCCTGACAAAGCTACCATGACTAGTTAACAGTATGACTCATTTTATTAAACCACTTTGCTGCACTGTCTCACATGGGAACATTCATGATAACATACCTTCATTCTTACCTGCAAGAGTATGTTGTCTCCCCTCCTTTGAACACCTTCCCACAGAGCTGGGAGGTTCCACTCTGTTGTAGCTTCTCCAGGAATATATCTGGGTCTTCCCCAAACAAATAACATTCCAGGGGGTATAATATTGCTGCCTGGACCATTTCTTCTTGTTTCTCCAGCAAGGGGTCCATTTCAGCTGAGTAAATATTTGGCACGTGTTTTGCCAAGCACTGCAAAAACGTAGTTTGGAAGTTGAATCTTTCATCACACCACTGCAAGAAAAGTACATCCATGGATAAATATAAATGAATAAATAAATTTAAAGATAATAGGATTAAGCACTTCTACTGTGAATCCAGAACTTTTTTGCACATCAGAAGTCAGTTTTGTGAGGAATAAAACCCAAGAAAGCATGACTTCCCAAGAATTTCTCTGCTATTTTCCTTTCCATACCCACTATAATAACCTCTGTTCTTTTGAAGTCTTCTACTAAAACACTCCAAGGCAAGAGTTGGCAAGTGCTATGCTACTGTAAAGCAAGCCACACACTAATTAATTTTCAACTACACTCTTGCCAACAGGCAAGCCAATACACAAATCTTGATGTCTGTTCAGCTGCCGACAAATGGAAAGAGCAGGAGCAGTAGCGGGTTTCCCTGTCTTAGCTGGGAAATAAATTTGGGATTCATTCCTTAGCCTGCTGATCGTCACAAAATGGGCAGCAACTTAATGATCTTTGAAATTGTTACCCTTCAGTAAAATCATGTTGAAACTGGCCATCAGGGTTCCATAGTTACTGAGGAAGAAAGAAGCCCAAGTGATTATATAAGCTTAATGTCCTTGTGAAACCAGACTAAAATGCAATTTCATGTTTATAAGACAATTAATTAAGAACCTCATATGAAAACATAAGTACTTTTATTTTCTTAATTTAAGTCCCTAATTTCACTTGCAACTACTCTAGTTCTCTGTTCTCTCCATCCAATTGCTCTATTTCTGTCCTTCAAGTCTGAATATTCTTTCACATTATTCCCATTATTTAGAAATACCTTTTGTTTTTCCTCATTGCAAATCAGACAAGTTTACCCATCAAGTCTCCCAAAGACAACCTCCTTTCATACACAACCTTGATTTATGCCCAAAAATTTATTTTTGCAAGAAAAAAAAAATGTGTAACTTCACAAATGTCTGTAAAGGGAATTTCCTCTAGGCCAGCAAGCAGAGAATGACCAAAGCATCCACCAAACAGTTTGGACTGAGAAAAGGTTCAAAGTAGCAAGTTATTAAACTTTTTTTAAAAGGATGAAAATGTAAAACATCTTCTGTGAAAGGCAAGAAATCCTGATTTCCTAAAATGAAACCCACATCAATGGATTTCCCCCCAAAACTGATGGAGATAGAGGATTAAATAATAGATCCATAAGGCTACAGCTCCCTGGTTTACTACCTAAATTAGAACAGTTCTAATTTGGTTACTGTATTTGTTCAA